AAAAAAAAAAAAAAAAAGGCAGGAAGTGGAGGAAGCTAGTAACACAGACAAGGTTAGCCTGGGAACCACCTTGTGGGTTCCACTGCTGACACCTTCCAGAACTGCCACCTCAATTGCCCCAACCTTGCCATGAAGAGCTCCCACCTGCCTTTGGATCTTTGCATGACCGTCTGCAGATAGAACTCTGGTCAAGGGCATTAGCCTGACCCTCAGCCTAGCTGACGAAGGGCAGGAGGGGAACACCTGCTCTGTTTTCTCTTCTATAATGGGAGGTAGAACTACAATGGAGGACTCCTCTTCAATGGGAGGGCTACTGGAGTGTTGGGGAGCCCTCCTAAAGGCAAATGCCTACTACTGTATTGTGAAGAAATGGATTAGTAAGTATTTTTTTAGTATGTTGGAAAATGGTTCTTAGTGTTATTTAAAATAAGGACATATTTTTGTATTATAATTTTTCTTTCAGATGGTAGCAAGATCCCAGCTTCAACCTTGATGGGAATTTTGCTAATGAATGATTTTAAACTTGTCATCAATAAAATAACATATGATGTGCAGTGTCCCAAGCAAGGTAAGAATTATAGCTATCCAACTCTCTTAATGTTTGCATTTTACAGGGAGGAGCCGTGGTGGCGCAGTGGTTAAGAGAGACGGCTGCTAACCAAAAGGTTGGCAGTTCAAATCCACCAGTCACTCCTAGGAAACCCTATGGGGCAGTTCTACTCTGTCCTATAAGGGTCGCTGTGAGTTGGAATTTACTCGATGGCAGCAGGTTTGGTTTTTTTTTAATATAGCTTATCATAAGAAGCTTTTTAATTGACCAAATGACTAAGAAGGCTTTGGAGAATCAGTGTTTAAGCTTGTCTAACGGAGCTGTCGTGGCACGGTGGTTAAGAGCTGCGGCTGCTAACCAAAAGTTTGATAGTTCTCATCCACCAGCTGCTCCTTGGAAACCCTATGGGGCAGTTCTACTCTGTCCTGTAGGGTCACTCTGAGTTGGAATTGACTCCACGGCAACGGGTTTGGTAGCAGGGGTGTAAGTGATCAGCAGAAGTTTTAGTCTCATTTGTTATTTTTAGACTTTAAAAACCTCATATTTGCACGTTAATTGCTTTTTCCAACAGTTTGCCTAAGAGAGGGATGGGCCTGAAAATCTCGTGTTCAAGTATATATTGTTGTACAGTTCTTAGTTCTTTTTTAAACAGCACTTTTCTTTTCATCTCAAACTATTGTTTTGACCATTAGCAATACTTCTGGAAAGTCCTCTGCTATCATTACTTCAAATATTTTTTCTGCTCCTTTCTCTCTTTCATTTCCTGATAGTTCCATTATGAATATGTTACATCTTTTGTAATTATCCCCCAGCTCTTGAATATTCTGTTTTGTTTTTTGTTTTTACTCTTCGCATTTCAGTTTTGGACATTTCTATTAACATATATTCATGCTCACTGATTCTTTCCTCAACCATGTCAAGTCCATCAAAGGCATTCTTCATTTCTATTACAGTTTTTTTTATTTCTTTCTGATTCTTTTTCACATTAAACATTTGTCCTTTCATGTTGTTCACTTTTTCCATGGGAGCCATTGGCATATTAGTCATAGTTATTTTAAATTTCTGGTCTGATGATTCCAAAATCTCTGCCGTATCTGAGGCCAGTTCTGACGCTTACTTTGTCTCTTCAAACCGTGGGCTTTTTGCCTTTTAGTGTGCCTTGTAATCTTTTGTTGAAAACTGGACATAATGTATTGGGTGACAGAAATTGAGGTAAATAATGTTTAATGTGAGGTTTTGTTTACCTGGCTAGGAGTTGGGGTATGTTTTATGTTTGCCGTGTTAGAGGCTTCAGTTTCCTCTGGTGTCCTTCTTTTGGTCTCTCCTGTTGTCTTTGGGACTCCCGAGAAACTTCTTAACAAGAGCCTGTGTCTTGCAGCTTTTTTAGTTGTAATCCACTGTTACTATACTAGAACCCTGTTGATGTGCTAGTCAGGTATTTGAGAGGAGAAGCATTCTATAATCTTATGATTAAATCTCCTTTTTTAAATTGGGCCAGAGTCCCTAGACTGTAATCTCCAGAAGAGTGTCTTAGCCTTTTTCGTTTTTTTTTTTTTCTCTTCCCGTAGTGAGACAGGAAGACTAGAGGGGATTGAAGTCAGCTTATTGCTCCCCCACCCCGTAAGGCTCTGGTAAAGGTGTTCCCATTGAGGGCAGGCTTTTGTTATGAAGAACAAAATGTTCTGGACTTATTTAGTAATGGTTTTGTGCCCTTCTCCATGCTGTAAGCACAAGGGGATTTTTCTTCCATCTTCACTATTAGAACCTGATGGGGCTTTTGTAGGTGAAACTCCTGAATGGGAGCCCTGAGTTTTTAACTCTCAAGCTAGTTCACACTCAGCCTCCAGCAGTTGGTCACTTACAGTTTAAGAGTCCTGCCGGTACTGACTCCAACTGCTTCTGCTCCAGGTAAGCTGCAATTATGGACTGTTGGGGATGGGGAGAAGGAATCCATGATTTCATACCATACTAAACTAATGATAACATAAATAGAAAAGTAAATAAGGAAGAGCTCTTGCTTCGAGTTAGAATGTCAGGTGCTGACTGGTAAATGTAGGATGGTTGCTGGAGTTGGAAAATCATCATTTTGAGCTAAATTCTGGATCAGGCAGGAATCATCAATAGATGCCAACTATCTTAGTCATCTAGTGCTGCTATAACAGAAATACCACAAGTGGATGGCTTTAACAAAGGGAAATTTATTTCTTCACAGTAAAGTAGGCTAGAAGTCCAAATTTAGGGCGTCAGCTCCAGGGGAAGGCTTTCTCTCTCTGTTGGCCTTCTTATCAACGTTCCCACTGACTAGGAGCTTCTCCATGCTGGGACTCTGGGTCCAAAGGACACGCTTTGCTCCTGGCACTGCTTCTTTCTTGGTATGAGGTCCCCCTGTCTCTCTGCTCACTTCTGTCTTTTATATCTCAAGCGATTGCCTCAGGGCACAATCCAATCTTATAGATTAAGTCCTGCCTTACTAACACAACTGCCACCCATCCTCCCTCATTAACATCATAGAGGCAGAATTTACAACATACAGGAAAATCACAAAATACAGGGAATCATTGCCCAGCCAAATTGATACACACATTTTTTGGAGGACATAATTCAATCCACGACACCAACTATTAAGGGAGGGGGTGGAAGTTAGATAAAGCAAGCAAGGAAGTACTGGGAAAAAGAAAAAAAAAAAAGATAGGGCAAGTCATAAGAACAGAAGCCAGCTTGAAGAAGCTCCTACTAAACATATCCAGGACAATTTGAACACCAGGGCAATATTTAACCTCAAAGAAAGAAGGATGGCAGACGCTGAGAAATGTGAAGATAAAGCCCCTAAGATACCAACTTTCATATCCAGTGAGTTCCTAACCTCTGCAAGGTCTTCTACTTCCTGTTCTCTATCTAGGAGAACACTGAAAGAACAAGAGAAAAAAGATTTTCAGAGCATCTCGTGGTTGTTTTGTGTGACCTTTCTCTCCTCAAAACCTTAGGTTTTTGAACATAAACCTTAGGTCCAGGTGTATATCAAAGAAAAAATTGCATTGGACAATGTTAAAACAGGCAAGGATGATTTTATTCAAAAAGGGTTACTGTAAAGGACTAAGGGAAGGTTGGGGAAGGAAGGAACACTGCAGTGGTAGGGGACCATCACAGTGTGGGGAAAGGCCGGAACTGTCTGAGCTCCTACTCCACTGAAGCAGAGGTCAGGAAGGGTCTTAAAGGCTGAAGGTTGCTGGGGAAGATTAAGCAGTGGGGTCTACCAACCACGTGGAGTTATCTCTACATGGAATTTACTGTTCAGGGTAGACAGACTATGTTTCATCTGGAGTCTGTAAGGGTCAGGGAGGGAAGAGAGGTCAGGGGCCTAGAGTTAGGAAGAAGTCTACCTAAAGTTTAGTTCAAACTGAGGGAAATGTTAATGCCATCTTGGTCAGCCCTTTTCCTGAACATAACAGGGCGAGGGGATTTCCAGAATCACAGAGCTGGGGTAAAATTCAACATTGTTATGGGCTAAACATAGCCTCCCAGCTCCTGCCAGCTCATTAGAAGGAGACTCCTCTCCCTGGAGAGGCTGTTTGCTGGGATTGAGCTCCAGGAGCAGGGGAAGCCTGGAGATACAGGCTGAGGCACTGTCTTACTGTCCCCAGGGCTAGGAGGTGCTTTATTGAACACTGAAACAGTAATAAACAGGGCACAGGAGGCATGGTTGGGAGCAAAACAAAAGGGGAATCATACTGGATTAACAAAATGAAATTTATAAAACTGTAAATTTGGAGTTTGTTTAGTTAAATTCTTTAATTTCTTTCCTAATACAGTGGCACATTTGGATTTGAAAGTTCAGGGTTGAAAAAACAAAATCCCCATGAAAGGCATATACAAGGAATAAACAGCTTGTAAAGAAAAAGAAGAGTAGTTGCCTCTCATTTTTGGCCTGCGTTAGGAGATGCTCTAGACAAGTAATGCAGCATATGAATTTTGTGGTGCCCACGTATTTCTGAAAGAGCATAACTAGGAGGGATTTACTGAACTCAGATCACGTCACTCCATAGCTTTGCACAAAGTTGTGCCTCATCTGTGTCTCTCTCTGGATATAGACCTTTTAAATATTAATACATTTTTTTGATGGGGAATCTGACTCTCCGACATAAAACCCCAAATATCTAGAAAGGAGCTCTTAGTTTTCACCTCTTTGTGGCAGTTTCAGCCTAGAATGTGGAAAGGGTTAAAAACCACAGTAAAGTCTTGAAGAACTGAGTAGAGATGGAAGAGAAAAACATCAGGACTTACCAGCATGAGCTGGAAAATCACAAGGCAAATACTGACTGGGATCTTGTCTTCAGTTGTGGTTTGTTGCCTCCTGGCGGGAAGATCCTCGTCCACCTCCCTTAGGTTCTCTCACAGCAATAGTGAAGTTACAGCCCTCGGAATGGTATAATTATAGCCCAGTTTTATGGGGATTTATAGACCCATAGAGGGGGAATGATGAGAGAAATCCATAATCAAAAGAACTCTGTCAAAAACTCTGAAACTGTAACTCTTTTTTTCAAATGTGTAGATGAACATCTTTTCACATGTGCACTTACTATTTACTGCGACTCCACTTGTTTAAAAAATGGACATCTGAGTCAGTTTTCAGATGTGTATAATACCTTGTTTACATGTCTGTACACCAGTGTCTGAGTCATCTAGTGCTGCTGTAACAAATACGCAAGTGGTTGGATTTAGCAAAGAGTTTATTCTCTCACAGTCCAGTAGGCTACAAGTCCAAATTCAGAGCGTCAGCTCCAGGGGAACGCTTTATCCGTCGACTCTGGAGGAAGGTCCGTGTCATCAATCTTCCTTTGGTCTGGGAGCTTCTCTGCACAGGAACCTCAGGTCCAAAGGACGCGCTCTGCTCCTGGCACTGTTTTCTTGGTGGTACGAGGTTCCTGTGTGTCTCTGCTTGCTTCTCTCTTTTACATCTCAACAGAGATTGGATTAAGACACTATCTAATCTTGTAAACCTTATCACAATGATAGAGTTTACAACACATAAGGAAATCATATCGGATTATACAATCATACAGTACCAGGAATCATGACCCAGCCAAGTTGCTACACACATTTCTTGGGGGACACAATTCAATCCATGACAAACAGCTTCCTACCCTGTGCATCCTAAAGCAGTTTTTGGAAAGATGACTCGGTAGGGGGAGGGATCTTAGGTTGTATGCGGGTACAAAAGTGAACTCATGTAAACTAATGTGTTAGACCTAAGGTGAGGTATACTCCTAGAGTCTCCTAGGTGGATACTACCTTTTTCTGTTTGCTGTTTTTTAAGGAAACAGCAAAAATCAGATTTCAAAAGAAAAAGAAAAGAAAAGCCAAAACACAATGAACTTTAAACCTGCTTTCTGGTGACTTACCATTCCTGATTGTCTTTATATGAAGAGAGACTAATGGAATCATCTGAGATGGGAGGATAGGCGAATCCTAAGTTCCTGCCTTGGAGTTGGGAGCGCTCAGGTGCCCAGTCTCAGGTGCTTTAGCACCCATGCTCAGGTTTGGTTCCCTAGATTTACAGACTGTAGAGGAACAAATGTGGTGACGGCCTTGTTACCTTTGTGTCTTTTCTCAGAAAAACTGAGTAGTGAGCATGCTACTGAGATGGAAACCATGATGTCTTTGGTTCACAGACTGTTTACGGCCATACATTTTGATGAATATAGGAAGAAGAAAGAGAACCATTTACTGGAGAAAATTGACCGCCTGAAGAAACAGCTGCAGCCCCTCGAACAGGTTAGGAAGCATCACAGTTGAGTCTGTAGAGCCACTGGGTGGGTTCGAACTGCCAACCTTTAAGTTAGCGGACAATTGCAAACCACTTGTGCCACCCAGGCTCTATCTAAAAATAATACCAAATGTTTATTGAGTGCCCTTCATGTGAGTATTTTTCTGAGTGCTTTGTTGTTGTTGTTAGGTGCCATCAAGTTGGTTCCAACTCATAGCAATGCCATGTACAACAGAACGAAACACTGCCCTGTCCTGCATCGTTCTCACAATCATTGCTATGTTTGAGTGCATTGTTGCAGCCACTGTATCAGTCCATGTCGTTGAGGGCCTTCCTCTTTTTTGCTGACCCTCTACCAAGCATGATGTCCTTTTCCAGGGACTGATCCCTTCTGACAATGTGTCCAAAGTATGTGAGACAAAGTCTCGCCATCCTCACTTCTAAGGAGTACATATGCTTATTTTCTACTTCAGTCCTCACAGCAAGCCTGTGAGTTTTGTACTGTTCTCTTTCTCATTCTTCAGATGAAGAAACCAAGACAGCAGAGGCACGTAGCTAATAAGTGGTAGAGCCACTTAGGTAGGTGGTCTGACCTGAGCTGCCATCTTAAACTGTCTTTCTGTGGCACTACACTGTCTTTCTGTGGATCAGCCATAATGTCTCTGCAGATGAGTATTAGAGTAGATAGTGGCAATTTGTGAATATTTGGCTTTGAATCTGGAAAACTTATGAGCTGGGATGCACTAGCTGGGGTACTACCTGAATTTCTTTTTATGGAGTGCAGGCCCAGGGCCCCAGCTTTGCTTAACAGAATTACAGCTGAAAGGTTAGTAATGGCTTCTTAACGACAATGAAGTTCATCAGTGGTGGAGAAAAAATAACTTTGATTTTATGTTTTCAGTCCGTTTGTTTTAATTTAAGGAAAAAAAAAATGACATCCTTTAAACCTTGTGATCCCACTTGTGATTTTAAAAAATGGGTAAGGATATGTATATCTGTCTATATGAATAGAGTTTGTGGAGATGTAAGAAATTTGTAATAGGGATTACCTTTAAAGCATTAGAGTGGCAGAGAAACTTTTCTATTTTGTTTTGGATTGTTTACTCACATTTTTTTTCTTTACTTCTTGCTAATTGATAATATGTATATGTGGGTTGGAGTCCCTAGGTGGCACAAACAGTTAAGCGCTTGACTACTAGCTGAAAACTTGGCGGTTTGAACCGACCCAGAGGTGTCTCGGAAGACAGGCCTGGTGATCTGCTTCTGAAATGTGACAGACTTGAAAACCCTGTGGAGTAGTTCTACTCTGCGCATATGGGGTCGCCATGAGTCAGAATTGACTCGACAGCAACCAACAACATATGTGGGTTAATATTTAAAAATCTAAAATAGTGTCCAAGGGAAAGTCTCCCTCCTGCCTTGTCCTCCCAGTTCCCATCTCTTCCACACCTAATAACTACTGGTATTGTTTTCTTATGAATCATTTCATAGTTTCTTTATCTACATACAAATAAATAGAAATATTTTTATTTGTCCTCTTTTTCAGAAAAGAGAGCATACACTGTTCTCATCTTTTTTCACTAAGAAAAAAAGAGATCCTAGAAATCTCTCCATATTGGTCCATAGAGCGCCTCCTCATGACAGCTGCATAATGTTTTCATGGACATGGGATTCTTTTTGGTCTTTTGCTACTAAGAATGGATCTGTAATGAATCATGTTTGTGCAGGTATACCTGTAGGATAAAGTCCCAGCAGTGGAATTGTTGGGTCAAAGGCAATAGGCATGTAATTTTAGCTAGAGTAATGTAGATATGCACTTGTTGTTTGTTTTCTTCTTGCTCTTTTTTTTTAAGTTGGTGCGCTGTAAACTGAATGAACAGTTGCTTGCTTTTTTTCCTCAGCTGAAAGCTCGAGTCGAAGGTCGCTGTGAAGCCAGTATCAGCAGACTCCTATGGACTGGATTAGCACTGCTGTCTGTTCAGGGTGGGGCACTGGCTTGGCTCACTTGGTGGGTGTACTCCTGGGACATCATGGAACCAGTTACATACTTCATCACATTTGCAAATACCATGGTCTTTTTTGCATACTTTCTAGTGACTAGACAGGTGAGTAGTTGTTAGGAAAATATTAAGAACACCTTTGCAAATAATTTCTTACTCCAGTCATGAACAATAAAGCTTTTATTTAATGAATTCCTGCTAACCCATTGACCCACTGCCATCAAGTAGGCTCCGACTGATAGCGACCCTGTAGGATAGAGTAAAACTGCCCCATAGGGTTTTCAAGGCTTAGTCTTTACGGAAGCAGACTGCCACACCTTCTTCCTGCAGAGCAGCTGGTGGGTTTGAACTGCCAACCTTTGGATTAGCAGCTGAGCACTTACTGCGCTACCAGAATTCCAGCTGTTTGAGTGTTTACAGGAGCCCTGGTGGCACAATGGTTAAAGCAGTCGGCTGCTAACCGAGAGGTTTGTGGTTCGAATCCACCAGCTACTGTGCGGGAGAAAGAAGTGGCAGTCTGCTTCTGTGAAGATTTATAGCCTTGGAAACCCTCTAGGGCAGTTCTACTCTGTCCTGTCAGGTTGCTATGAGTTGGAATCAACTCGACAGCAATGGGTTTGGTTTTTTGGTGGGGTGCTGTTTATAAGCTGATATTTTCTGCTTTTCATGAGGCTGGTTGGAGACATATACAGTACGGAACAACTCTCCATAGCCTCTATAGAGAAATAATTAGTACAATTCACAGATTTCTCCACTGGGATAAACGTGTCAAATTTATGTTCTCTGTGCCCTCATTTATAAATTGAATTTGTCATGCAAAACATCCAGTAACTTCAGCTTTGCCTCATGGTTATTTTGCTAAAAATCTGCCTTTTCCTTTTTCTCTCTTCTTCCCCGATATGTGATTTTTCTTCCCAGTTTGTCTGCTTTTGAAAACAGCACTGAAGGAGCAGCTGATCTCAAATGAGACAGAATGTTTTACTTGTATTGGGTTGTGCTTGCGTTGACGGTCACTGCAAACATTTTACTCATCTGCTTTGCTTGGCTCTGGTGTTGCTGAGTCAGGGATCTTCTGGCAGAGACATTCCTTCAAAACGTTCATTTTCTTTTCTCTCTTTTTTTAAGGATTATACTTACTCAGCTGTTAGTGGTAGGCAGTTTCTTCACTTCTTCTATAAGAAATCAAAGCGAGACCATTTTGATGTGGAGCAGTACAACAAATTAAAAGACGACCTTGATGAGGTAGGTATCTTATTGTAAATATAACATCTTAGAGCTGGTCTTGTGTGGGAACCAGAACATAGTGTTAGGGAAATGCAGTTGATGGCTCATGGGTTAAATCTTGGTCCTAGGTAGATTTTTGTGTATTGTGTTCAGTGAAATAGCTGACATATCTGATAGTAATTTCAGATCTTGGTTTTATTCTTGTCATGTTTTCTACATGGAGCTAGCTTTAAATATGTATGAAAATGTCTTATATGATTGAGATAGTAAAATGCAAGCTCTCGATAGAAATACATTTCTCAGTGAGTATAGTTAAGGAAGAAAGCCCACTATCAAGAGTAGTTGCAGATTTTTAGCTATTAAACAAATAATAGAAGTAGAATTTTAGGAATGTGAATGCTGTGATAATTTTAAACTCTTTAAAGGCATTTTCAGGTTTCTTCTTAAAAATAGAAGAATCAGTATGGAACTCCTCCTTTTATCTTTTCCCCATCTTTCAGGTGAAGGAACAGAGGCTCTTCAGGTCACTTGTCCTGATCACATTTTACACTGCTAGAAAGTGGGGGAATCAGAGTATGAACCAAAAGTTAGACTCGGGAGCCTGTGCTCCTAAGAGCACCATGATCTGGTTCTTAGGCAGTCTCTTTCTCTGGCCTCCCAATTTACTCATTAACTTTCTCGGACTGTAACTTCTCAGCACATAACTAGCTTTGAAATTTTTCTTAGTAATTTTATAACAAAAAGATTTGGTAAAAAGTATCTTCCATTGCCCAATGCATCCTCATTTAATAGTCAGTAGTTATATCTTTATTGTACTTTCTAAACTACCCAATACCTGAAATTTTAAAAAAGGAAAGATGTTACTAGAAATTTGAAATGCAAAAATAAGATAGGAGCCTTTTAATTTTTTAAAAATATCTTATTTCATATAATCACTACATTGTTAGGCGCTGTCAAGTTGATTCCAACTCATAGTGACCCCATGTGACAGAGTAGAACTGCCCTATAGGGTTTCCTAGGCTGTAATCTTTACGGGAGCAGATTGCCAGGTTTTTCTCTGCGGAGCCACTGGGTGGGTTTGAGCCTCCAACCTTCTTTCTGTTAGCAGCCGAGCACTTAACCATTGTGCCTCCACATAGGAAAAAATAATAATGATTTTTTGGTTTTTGTTTTTTAATTTAGTGGATACTCTTTACATTTGAATGATCCAATCCAAGAAAGCTTAAGAATGATCTTCTGGCAAGTTTACAAGACCAGGCATTTAAGATTTAAAATGACACCTTTTCTTTTTTTTTATGTAATAAAGTTGAGAGAAAAAGGAGACTAATAGATCATGTCATTTTTTTTGTTTTGTTTTTTAATATGAGCTGGAAAAACCATTATGAAGGGAATAAACTAATAGGAAAAAAAAGCATAAGGATGAATTAGAAACCTTAAACTCACATTTTAAAAAAGAATCCATATAAAATTGAAGTATTTTAGGTATTTGCCAGTAGTACTTTTAATATTTTTATTGCCCTAAGGAGTCAGTAAGTTTACAGAATTCCTCTGACCACGTACTTTTTCTTTTTCCCATCAACAGGCTAAAGAAGCCCTGAAGCGTTTGCGCCATATTCTCTATTTTCGATTGCCAGTGGAAGAACTCAATGACAAGAGTTAACCTTACAGTTTTAAAAATCACTCAATTGTTCCATACTGTGTTGATTTTGCAACTTAGAAACTGGAAGTTTTTGAGTCCCATAGTTCATTACAATTTGACTGTTTCAGTCTTTTTTAGTTGTTAATAAAAAATTCTTGTAAAACACAAGTACTCTTTGTAGTTCTCACTTGAGATTTCTGATGTCGATTTTCAGGACTTGAGTGCATCCATCAAAACCAAAGAGGCTGCCGCTGCTGTTTGGCTCTTCAGCTAAGAATCCTCATTAGCCTGTCCTGGGTTTGCGCCCATGTGGAAACGAAAATGATCAGTGTGCTTGGCATTCGTTTTCATTCTCAGGCCTCGTTTACAATCGCTGTGTCGTAAATTTATTTTTTAATATGTAGTAGTTGAGAGTAAGCCCTTTATTATTAAATACAGCTAAAGTTATTACAAAATATTTGAATCGCTTGAAACTTTTTATCTTAATAACTAATGTTTAAAACCAAACAAAACCTGTAGGTGTGAGATAGATACTATTTCTTTATCATATGTTGTCAGGTACCATTATAGGCATCTTAAACCTGTTGCTGTGGAGTTGATTCCGACTTAACAGCAACCCTGTAGGAGAGAGTAGAACTGTCGCATAGAGTTTCCAAGGCTCTAATCTTTATGGGGAGCCCTGGTGGTGCAGTGGTTAAGAGTTTGGCTGCTAACCAAAAGGTCGGCAGTTCGAATCCACCAGCTGCTGCTTGGAAACCCTATGGGGCATTTCTACTTTGTCCTATAGAGCTATGGAAGCAGGCAGCCACATCCTTCTCCCACTCTAGACACTTTACATATAGCTTATTTGTAATCCTGTAATCCTACAAGGAAGCTATTTATAATCCCAGTTTTATAAGGAGGAAACAGTTTTACAGAGGTTAAATAATTTGTCTGAGCACACATAGCTAGAACATTTAAGCATCTACCCATAAACCTGTTGGCTGCCAAGTCTATTCAGACTCACAGCGACCCTACAGGACAGAGTAGAACTGCCCTGTAGGGTTTCCAAAGAGTGGCTGGTGTATTTGAACTGCTGACCTTTTGGTTAGCAGCCGAAGCTCTTAACTACTGCGCCACCAGGGCTCCACGCATCTACCTACAATAGAACATAAATCATTATAAATTTACCACTAAGGGCATTAATCAGTTATCCACAATTTCAGTGTTTTCAGCATCTGACTTTGAGAAAGGCTAATGGTGTTTCAGTTCAGATTTGTGGGCACCAGTGTTATTGCATCTGAGTAAGAATATTTAATTCAAATAAATCCTCCTACTGATCACATCCGAGGAAAAATGGTAGTTTTTTTGACTTGTTTTTAAAGAGCTTTTCAGTAACAGCAGCTAGTTTCTCTTACGTAACCAGAATTGTATAATCTTTGCCTAGAGGGCCAGGCAAATGCCCACTTGGTGAACTGAGGAGCGTTTTTTGTAGCCCTCAGCTTTTGAAAGCAGAGCCTCGGGATGGCAAAGCCTGTGGTGCCTTCACTGGTAGGGGGTTAGGATTAAAGGGAGGGTAAACTGCTTAGCTGCCAGTGAACCCCCTGCCATGACCACAAAGAAGGGATGAATGTCAGTAACCTTAAAGCTTCTGTTGGTCCTCTTTTTGAATTGCAAATGAAAACCACACAGGCAAACTACTGCTTTTGAACTAGCAGCTCACAGGTTTCCGTTATCAAAGCCCAAACATTTAACTGTCTTCAGCCTTTGGCAGTTTGTGGACAAAACAATATTCCTCAACTTCTATATATCATATTAAGAAGAAGCTCTAAAAGAAAATCTATTATTTTATTAATGTTATGATCTGTGAGTGTGACTGGTGACTTAGAAAATGTACAGTAACTTAACATGGAAGATACTGACAAGCAGATTTGGAAGTGTTAGCCTATATTGGCTAAGAACTAGCTGTGTTTTATATTTCACCCTCAGAATGCCATATAATAGTTCTTGAAGGCATTTATGTGACCAAGTAAAATAAGCCCACTACAAATTACGCACATGAATAAGAATGTGAATTAGAAAAACTTAATAAAACATGAATTCCAAATTTCTTATTAAGGGGAAACAATGATCTAATTCTTGGATTTCAGAAGCCTTTAAAAACATTACAAAATAAACTTTTATAAAAAATGTCATAAAATACACGTTAAAATCAGCCAATATCAAGATAAAATCAGACAGATATTATGGGTAATCTTGCAGCTTACTAAAAAGAGCAACTAATACAAATGCTTGTGGATTTTTACTTATAGTAATTCCCTGAGGATTTTTTTTCTACATACAATAAACCCTTTCTTCACGTCCAATATGAATTATTTAAAAAAAAAAAGTTCTCTGCTAGACATTAAACCTTAAAATATTTTAAGTTGCTGGCCCACAAGCTTCAACCTAGTGATAGTCATTTATATAAAAAGAAGGGAAATATATTTGAACACAGATGCATAAGAGAAAATAGCTCCCCTCATTTAGGTTTTGGAAAGAAATGCAGCTTTTTAGTAAGCATTGAGGCAAAGCAGGGAACCTGCTTCTTTCCAATTGCACTTGGGTCTTTGCAAAAGTCCACCCGGCGCTGAGAGACTTTCCTGTTCACCAGCGTGAGGAGTTCTGTGAACTCTAAGGAGGAACCGAATTTTCCCAACATCTCACACAAATCTTGAATGTACCAAGAGCCGTTCACAGTTTCCCGGTGAGAATAGTAACCTAAAAAAGATAGAAAGAAAAAGGACACTGATGTTTTCTGGCTTTCAGTTAGACTGGGACTGAAAAACAGCTTTATAATCAAACTTCCAGAAGTATAAATTCTCAAAAATCCCTGGAGAAGACTTAAGATGTGTCCACGATAACGGTTTTTAAGTTTTTCTGTCAGCTATTCTGTGGGAAAAGAGGTTAATTCTATGTAATTCTACATAAATTAGGTTAATTCTATATAATTTCCCCCATTCCTAAAAATTCCCAAGATGGTAGGCAGGAGACAATTTTGAGAGGCAAGAAATTATTAGAAGTAAAACATAAAATTATTTAAGAGCAAAGGAAACTACCACCAAAATATTTTTAACAAAGGTTTTGATAAATATTACCACAGTGACACTATCACCATTGGTAATTGATTGCAGGCTGCTAATATTTAATAAAATTACTCTTGTTGCTTTAATTAACATAGCTCTCAGGAAGGATTTTTCTGTAAGGCATTTTACACTCTCATTTATTACTCTGCCTTGGGATCAAAGAAATCCATTCTAAGCCTGTGAGCTTCAGGACCAATCGCCATGTCCCAATAGGAAGACCTGACCGAAATCAAAGGAAGGTGAAACTTAGAGAAACTCAACCAAGACAGCCAACTGTACGTTTGTATTAAACACCAACGTACCTTCTGCAACAGAGTAACACATGAGGAAGTCTGCTCCAGCAGGTAGCGTGTAAACGGAGGCTGCATCCACCTCCGTTACGTTGGCATCCAGCTTGTCTGTGTGATGATCCACAACATCCAAAGGAATGACTGGCACATCATGCTGGTTTCCTCGACACGCCTGCAAGACACGAAGGGGAAAAACCCACCTCCTCTACCGACTGTTTCCTTCCCAGTGCTTAATGTTTACAGTGAATAAATAATTCAGTAAACCTTCATACCAACACCAGCAGAAGGCACCTCAAACACAACACGTTAGCGTCTGTGGTTGGTTGCTATCAAGTCATCTCCAATTCATGACAACCCCACGTACAACAGGATGAAACGTTACCTGCACCTGCGCCGTCCTCACGATCACTGGGATGACTGAGTCTACTGTTACGGCCACTGTGTATTCTGAGTGCCTTCCAACCTAGGGGGCTCATCTTCCAGCACTATATTGGACAATATTCTGTTGTGATCCACAGGGTTTTCACTGGCTAGTTTTTGGAAGTAGATCACCAAACCTTTCTTCCTCGTCTTAGTCTAGAAGCTCCACTGAAACCTATCCACCACAGGTGACCCTGCTGGTATTTGAAATACTGGTAGCATAGCTTCCAACATCATAGTAACATGGAAGCCACTATTCCATGACAAACTGACAGACGGGTGATGGACGTTCAAGTTTAGAGGAGACAGAAGACAACAGTAGCGCAGCGGTGGCTCAGTGGTAGCGTTCTTGCCTTCTCTGCAGGGGACTGGGGTTGCATTCCCAGCCAGTGCCGCTCATGCGCAGCCACCACCCATCTGTCAGTGGAGGCTTCTTGTTGCTATGATGCTGAGCAGGTTCCAGGAGAGGAGCCAGACTAAGACTTCTAGACTAGGAAGAAAGGCCTGGCAATCTGCATCTGAAAATCAGCCAGTGAAAACCCTATGAATCCCAACAGCCTGATCTGCAAGCAGTCATGGGGATGGCACAGGACTGGGCAGTGTTCTGTTCCATTTTGCATGGGGTTGTCATGAGTTGGGGGCCAACTCAGCAGCTAAAAACAACAAAAGCTGACAGAGTTGCTTCCCTACTTATATTTTAGTTAATGTTAAAAAAAAAGCATCCCAACTACATCCCAAATTATGTTGGCTGAAAGGTACACTGTCAAACAGAAAGCCTCAGTGGTTTTAAACTTTGTTATGGATTAACCTCACCCACAGCTCGAAGAGTTGCCCTCTCTTTTGAAAGCTACACTATTTACCTAAGAGTTTCTATTGAATCAGGTAGTAGTATTTCAGACTGAGTTCTGTTTGCTTGACTGCTGCCATAAACTGTGAAGGGTCAAATGACACTGCCTTTCTCCTTCTGCCCCTACTTTAAAGTGAGGCCTCACGTTCCTATTAATACTGACTCACACAGAGGCTAACATTAATTTTGACTCTTAGGTGACCTGACAGGATTCTGCTGTAGTAGTATACATGCATCAATCAATTCTGAAATAGTAAAGAATTATAAGCTTTTTTGAAAGAAATGAAGTCCTGAGTGATTTCAAAATTATCAAATAAATTAAGAGATCCCTAATATCCCATTTTTACAGGGAGTTTTTAATCTTATTTAGTATTATCAGGTTAATTTTCTGATCTTATTTTCCAGATCCCCTGGAACTTGATGAAATCACCTGCCAAATCAACTGTAATAAGACTAAGAGCTGACCTTAACATTGAGGGCTTACCATATGCCAGGCACTGTTCTAAGTGTTTCCATCCTTCATTATCAGATCATTTTATCCTGACAACCCCATGGGGTAGGTGCTATTAGTATCCCGATTTCACAGATGAAGAATGGGAGGCAGAGAGAAAGTAACTTACCAAAACATTTCCCTCCTTTCTGGCATCTTCCCATAGCAGCTCGTTAGTTTTTCCAATCATGTTTGAGCGATGGCCGTTCTCTTTCTCATGAAATAATCATCTGTCATTTTTCTCCTCTGAGCCATCCTCCTCAGTACCTCTCCTGCTTCCTTACTGGTTTTACACCATTTTTAAGGCTATACTCCATCTTCTGATTACTCTCAAATGTATTTCTCTAGGCCAGGCTGCCTATCTTAGTTTCTACCCCTGTAATTCCACATGCATGTCCCACAGACAGCCGGGTGCAACTGTCCAAACCAGAGAGTGTCCCAAATAGCCCCTTCCCTTCCAAGCCTCATAGCAGGATGTGAACTGTGATACCACATAGCTTCCTGTCCTAGTAACAGATGACATGCCTTCATGGAAATACAGAAGCGCAACACTGGAACATCAGGAACTTGTTCTTTTTTTTGTTCAAAATCCTTACTGATGTGCCAAGTGATATTATTTTCAGGCCATATATATATATATCCCTAATAACCAACTTAACAGGGAGGAAACGGCATCTTGGTTGAAGAGAAAATATGAAGCGGATGAGGCAAAGCTAGGTGGAGAACTCTTTATTCTTCCCACTGGCTTACATGCTCTCTAGTTCCCAAGGAACCAACCTTCATCTGAACAGGCTGCTTTGTGTGGCACTCTTCAATCAGCAGATACCTCCTCTGGTGACTCTATCTGATACCAGCTGGGCCAGAGATTGGCACATTATTCTATGAGTCACTGCAAATGTCAGTCCAAGTACTGGTTTGTTGTGACAGAAGTACTGAGAGTGTTAAGAAAGAATTACACCTAACACCTCAAAGTGCACCTCTGATTAGCCAGGATTCAAAAAGGCCCTTCTCAATTACTGGAGAAGGGTACTGTCTTGGTTACCTAGTACTGCTGTAACAGAAATACCACAAGTGGATGGCTTTAACAAAAAAATCTATTCTCTCACAGTCTAGGAAGCGAGAAGTCTGAATTCAGGGTACCAGCTCCAGGGGAAGGCTTTCTCTCTCTGTCAGCTCTGGGGAAAGGTCTTTGTCACCAATTGTCCCGTGGTCTAGGAGCTTCTCAGCACACAGATGGGTCCAAAGGACATGCTTCCCTCCTGGTTTTTCATTCTTGGTAGCATGAGGTTCCCTGTCTCTCTGTTGACTTCTCTCTGTTATATCTCAAAAGAGACTGGCTAAAGACACAACCTAAACTTGTAGATTGAGTCCTGCCTCATTAACATAACTGCCTCTAATCCTTCCTCGTTAACATAGAGAGAGGATTTACAACACGTAGGAATATCACATTCAGATCACAAAATGGTGAACAGTCACAATACTGGGAATCATGGCCTAGCCAAGTTTGACACACATTTTTGGGGGACCCAATTCAGCACATAACAAGTACTTTCAAAACTGGTTTTAGTCCTTTATAATCACATATATGGACTCTATAGGGAAGACGATAACATAACCAGTCTTACCTGGATGATAAATATCTTGGGTTTTCCAACCAGGCTCTGACATTTGTCTCCTTTGAACAAACCAGTCAATGTCTGAATTTCAATTTTGGCGTCGTATGCATAAATGTGATTGCCTTCACCATGACTCAGGAATACACATAAAAAGCAATCAGCATCTGTATGGCTAGAGGTCGACACTATATAGGCCCCCAAAAGTTCACAGAGAAATGAAAATAAGATGCTTATTAACAACTACATATAAAAATTCAATTTACTAAAATTACAATAAAGATGCATAGATACCATTGGGGGTGGGGGAAAATTTGTTATTTTTATAATAAATATAAAATATCTGTAATGAAACACTACTTAGTCTTTAATCAAACAATAATTTATACCATGCTGTATATGATTTTTAAAAATCCAATTATTAAACTTCAAAGTAATAGCGTTGGGCCAAATTTCATGAGCATTTCTCAAACAGTAAACCAGTACCAGTACCAGCTGCCATCGAGTTGACTCCAACTCATGATGCCCCCAGGTTTGTCAGAGTAGAACTGTGCACCATAGGGTTTTTTAATGGCTGATTTTTCAGAAGTAGGTTGTGCCAGGCCTTTCTTTCAAGGCACCTCTGGGTGGACTCGAACCTTTAATCTTTCAGTTTGCAGCCGAGTGTGTAACTGTTTGCACCACACAGAGTAACGATGTGGAAAACATAAAAAGACTTGTTGGGAACCCTCTTCTAGATCTGAGTCACTTCGGCAATAAATTAAGTTTCTGTGAATCAGCAGAGAGCTACTTAGCACACAAACTGGAAAGAGCCAGAAAGTAGCTCTCAACAACTCCCTATGTGTGGCTGCGCCTGTAATGAACGCTGCACCTTCACTGTATGTCTGCAGCACTCAGAGCTTCCAGAAGAGTTACTGAGACATGACCAACCAAAACCAAACCCGTTGCCGTCGAGTCGATTCCGACTCAAGCGACCCTACAGGACAGAGGAGAACTGCCCCATAGGGTTTCCAAGGAGCGCCTGGCGGATTCAAACAGCCGACCTTTTGGTTAGTAGCCGTAGCTCTTAACCACTACGCCACCAGGGCTTCCATTGAGATATGAGACAGATGTAATCAAAAGCTTATGAGCAAAGTAGAAAAAAACCAGAAAGAAGCCAGTTAAAATGAAAATGATTTACAGATTAAAGAACAACTCTGAAGAAAGTATAACATAATTATGCAAATACGCCATGACAGTCTGTTGGCAAGTGACTTGAAAATCCATGGCACTGCCATGATTATCCAGATACACCTAAGTTGTATTGTAATTAGAATACCTACTGCACAGTAATGTTGTGGAAATTAAAAGAGATACTCTATGCAGATCAACACTATTTTGACCCAGTGAAAACTCAGTTATGGAGGAAGTCAGTTAAAAAATAAAATGAGCCCACTGACTGCCCAGCATCTGTGGTATTTGCATTTTAGACATTTAATGCTAAATGAAAAGGTCCTTTAAGTCATTTCTAGAGTAACAGACTATACTAGTAGGCTAAATATAAACTTTGCAGGCACAGTGCTTTGCAAGGGTATCTCAATCTGGTGGATAACGTATACACAGAGATGCACAACCAAAACTTGTAGCCCATGCTAAATTAACTGATAACACGACTCTGGCAAAACGCAGTTAATTATCTGTACCTGTCTTTACAGACAGGACAATTAAAATACTCATTCCCATCAGAGGAAGATGAACTTAATAGGAAAACTACATACCCTCATGAATTTGGAGCAGTAGTTCTTCTGCTTTAAGATCGTTAAAGCACTTCACTTCAAATCCTAGATCTGAAAGCCTGGTGATACATTAAATTGAATATTAACTTACGGCTCTTTAAAGTCATCAAATACCTCTAACTTCACTTTTGAGGAATCAAAACACACCTTTATGACGTAAATTTACTTTGGTGGAAAGAAACAAAAACCAAGTATCATGATAATGGTAGTTTTCCTTAATCACTTGTGGTGGGAAAAGATTTAATCAAAACGATAAGCCAGTTTTATTTAGAATATTGTTGTCTACTATACAAACATGTTAGTAACAACATGATAGTTAATAGTGATAACAGCAAGGCAAGAGAAGGAAGAACTCAGGCAAGCTCTGAAGGGAAGTCTGCTCACATGAGGCCCATCCTCAAATGCTCTTGCTCCCTTAACTCATCGGTGCTGACAAGTTTTCATAAGTAACTGTTATCAGCTTAAAGTCTCATCCTTTTGACATGTAGATAAAACTACCTGCGTTTAAGATTGTCTCTGTCTGCATCGGTGCCACGCCTGTCTGGCAGCGTCAAGTGCCAGAAGAACCTCTCATGATTGAAGATTAAAGCAACTCCTCTCTTCCTGTGGTCCATTTTGTACTTTTCTGCTGGATCAAACGTTTCACTGTCAATGAAAAGTTTAGAAAGCAGTCGCATCAAGTCATGTGAAATAATGACATGCTCTGAGCCCAAGGCCACTGTGTAGAGTCCACAGAGGTCGGCTGCCTCCCCCTCCGTTGCCAGGCTAAGTCCCACTGATGAGCACTGGGAAAGTCACGGAGCAGCACCAGTGGGGGGAGTCCTTGAACCCAGCTGCCGTGTTCAGCACCCCAGCCCTCCACGTGGACGCCTTCCCCCGTGCCCCAGCTCTAGGGCCCATGCCATAACAATCATGAAATATTCCGATCATCAGTCCAGGTCCTTTGACAACCAGAGGCAGCAACTAACCTGCATTTCTACCAGTCAACCCCCAGAATGCTAAACCTTGACATTCTCAGTTCTTCCTGACTCCCAGGTCCCATTCTTGCTTTAATTTCCACAGGCTGATCATGACTTGCTGTTGTTACCACCAAGAAGAGACCTTTATTATATCAGAAAGAGTACTTTTCTTACCTTCTATGAAAGGCATCTGTTTCCGTCATGTTTTGTTCCCTGCCTATTAAAGAAAAAAAAAGTTAAGTTTTGTTAATGAATATTACTTTCTGATTTATGGGAGTAAAAACACTGTAGAAACTCCTATCCCCCCTACAACTCCTGAACTCTAAGCTTTCGTTCTGGTTAGTTTAAAAGTCATGGTACATGGAGATGGTCTAAGGGGAATTGAAGGGAAACTGCTTGTTAATATAACGCAAAAACTATAAATTAACAGCTCAATTCTTTCACATCCCCAGCTCTTATCTCCAAAATAACAAAAATTCTTACAAAGAGAAATGGAGAAAACATTACACCAACTCATTCACTGCAAAACGTGCTTCGATAACAAAGTCCTGTGATTGTGGAGCTTGAATGAAAAATGAAATGGCTTTATTATGCAGAAAACTTTTTTTGGAGAGGGCAAATATTATCTAAAACAGAGTATTTCAGGAGAACTGAAATACTGAAATAGAAGTTTGTGGTTAATGCTGGATTCTGTGACAACCTGGAAGTTTGGGTAGAGGAAGGAAAAGGGCAGAGGTAAAGGCAGATGACATGGATTTTTTTTACTTTTTTATTGTACTTCAGGTGAAGGCTTACAGAACAAATAGTTTCTCGTGAAACAGTAGTATACATGTTGTTTTATGACATTGGTTAACAACCCCACAACATATCAACCCTCTAACTTCTCAACCTTTT